ATAATATGATAAAAGTAAATGATGGGAAATTCCATTCGAAACATCTTAAAATTCCAGGATGTGTAGCTATTGACGTCCGACCCTGTTTTATGGGAATTTATTCTAAGGCTGAAAAGAGTAGTTTAGCATTTTACCTAAATGAATGTGGGCTCGAAAGTAAAATGGATATGCCTATTCACTATATGAATAAATATTATGAAAGGGCATTAAAAGAGCCAGATTCCATGTCGGCCGAACAAATGCGCGAAGTGGCCAAATATTATATTATCGACGCTCTTAGTTGCCAGCGGTTAATGGTAAAGCATAATGCAATTAATAAGTATAGAGAAGTAGCATCCGTAGCCTTCTTATCATTATTTGACATACATTATTTTGCAGGAAGTATGAAGGTTTGCAACCTTTTAAGTGCTAACGCATGGCAAAGAGGAATCCTAACCAGTATGATTTCAAACCGACAAACAGAAACTGGAAAATTCCCTGGAGCCTATGTTTTCCTACCAGTAAAGGGTCTCGAAAACAGACGTCCTGTAACCGGCTTAGATTTCAGATCGTTATATCCAAATCTTATCATAACATACAACCTCTTACCTGACAAAATCATTTTATCTCAAGAGCATGTCGTATTTGTAGAACAAAGTGACAAAAAGCTTCATAAGATAGAGTTTCTATTTAATAACAACCCCCAATGTGCCTGGTCAGTTCAGCATAACAATATTTCTAAAGAAAAGAGATTCTATACTATCGTATTAGAATATTTATCAGGTAAACGAAATGAGATAAAGAAGCATCTTACTCCTTTGAAAGAGAAAAAGGAAGACATGGACTTGGTAATAAGTTCAATGGGTAAAGGTTTGTCATTATCAGAAGCCATCGAGCAGATCTTAGCGAATGCAGAGGTAGAAAAACGTAGCGGTCTTACTAAGAATTTATATCATTTTATTCATAAAGAAAAGCATGAATTCATAGTAGAATATGATTCTATTTGTTTCGACTGCTCTTGTTTAGATGTGGAACAATATGCTTTAAAGGTATATATGAATACATTTTATGGCACTGCTGGAGATAGTAAATCCCCTTCTTCTTACGAGCACTGGCTGGAGGCGTCACATCAGCTGGACAGAGAAATATCAAACTCGTTGCGGATTTCGTCAAGGGAAAGGGGTTTGGGATAAAATATGGGGATACAGATTTCTTGTATCTAGTCTGTCCAGAAGAACGCTTCCAGAGGTGTGATGAGGCTTATGATAATGGCAACGGGATCTCAAAAGAAGAATATTAGTCTCGAATGGTAGAAATCTCTATAGTGGAAATGGAAAAACTTCGTGATGAAGTTAATGTCTTTCTCAAGGAAGATAACGGATCCCCTTATCTTAAAATGGCATATGAGGAAGTCTTATTTCTGGTAGTATTTACTGGAAAGAAAAAATACTATGGTATCCCACATGAAAGCAAGCCGAACTTTAATAAAAAGCCTTTTATTCGGGGGGTTGAGATTGTGAAACGAGGTCAATCTACTCTTTTTCGCAAAATAGAAAAACGTATTATAGATGAATCTTTAAAGGTGAATAAGATACGTACCTTATATCAAATCATAGAGAATGTTCTTAAGGAATCTGTAAAGGATATTTCTCGAACAGATCTTAATAATTTAATTAAAACTGCTGTCTGAAAACTAGACAAAGATAATAAGTCTGTCCAGCGCTTTATGTCACGAATGCGGAATAGACATACTCGTGAAGAAGCAGACGCAAAATGGCTTATAAAAAAGGGTTTAACACCCAAGGCTTATCTTTATGAAATCCTAGAGCCAGGCGAGCGGTTTGAATATGTTGTAGTTGAGAATGATTATCACAGAAGGTAGGTGACAAAATGGAGTACCCAGAAGTGGCCAGACAACTTGGTAAAAAGATTGATATTAGTTATTATTTGAATAGTGTTGTCAGCCTCTGTGCGCGTTTTATAAATTATGAAGATATATACCAACCATCATCCGAAGCTGTGCTGGAAGCCTTAAAAAAGTTAAAAGATGGTAATAAAGTAGGTGATAATAAAGCAAATGACGGTGGAGTGGATAAAGACGACATGGACAAAGACGAAGTGGATGAAGATGAGGTATCAAAGATAAGAGATACCTTAGCGCAAAAATCGGCTGAAAAGTGGGTTAGGGGGTATATCAAAAACTTACATGAAGGTCTGAAAAAAGATAAAACCATTATAACTCATTTATGGGGTGGAGCACGCATTTACGCGAAAAAATTATTTGATACTACTTATGCCGATAAGGAAGAACGCCTGACTAACAATGCTTATTGCCAATCTTTCCTCAATGCTTTAAATAAGCAAGAAGAATCCATCTGCTTAAAACTTTCATCATTGCTTAAAGAAATTTCCGAGGTTGATATAGAGTATAGAGACAGTATGTATAAATTAGTTACTAAGAAAAGAGCAATGTCCTTAGAACAATATTTAACATCATATTATTTGGATGAGTGTAAACTACTAGCAGGTTTCCGAAACACATGGTACAAAGTGGTTGGTCTAGAAATTACACGTTATCGAACCTTATCGCAGGATGATAAAAAAGATAACTCGTCTGAAGTAGATATAAACGAGATCATTGAACTATATTGCTAAATATTCTTAGCCGAATTTGCCAGACCTCAGCTAAGAAACTTACAATATTATTTATAGTAGCATATATTTTTTCTTCCTTCAGTCGTGCAATAATACTGGCTAACTTCAATTTCTATCTTCGAACTTCTGGTTTCCGATCATACAGCCTAGCTTCAGAAATACCCAGAGATGATAAAAAATAGTTCTGATAAGGAGGGGTATTACTTTTTTTCCATAAATCCCATATTTTTTTCCCAACAATCCATATAACTACAAGAAGAAATAAGATAAGTATGGCATATGACATAAAGGAACTTTCAATAGTAGGAATAACTGGTGCGGTTCTCGGGGGAGGCATTACTTGGGCTGATGCCACCACTTCTGCGCCACCTGACTGCTCTGCAACCTCTTCTTTTGAAATAGACTTTTCGAAATTTGCTGGTCGACTATGAACAGATTGATTGGGTAGGGCATTTATCTGACTTTTCGAAACTATCTCATCCCGGGGTAATAGCTCTTGCAAAGCCTCTAATATATGTTCTCTAGCAAAACTTTTATCGAATTCCATAACTTTATCTTCAAAACCAATCTCATGAATGAGAGGTCTTAGATTATCACTAACCCAACCCGGAAGCTTTTGTGATGAATCGTTCATAGGCGGAGGTGGAGGATTAGAAAGATCTGCTATTTCATTATCTTTTTTTGTGATTATCTTATGGAGACGAGAATTTTCTTCAGTCAAATTTAATCGTGTCGAAGACAAGGAGTCTAACGTCCGTTTATATATATTATCTTTCTCCTCTACCCCCTTTTCTAGACATTCCAATTCGTATTCTTTTGAAGATAAATCATCCTTCGCCTGTTCTAATTCAAGCCTAAGGGAATCCATTTTAGATAAGTTCATTTGAGCTAAGGAAGAATTCTTTTCCAATGTTTTCAACTTGGATTGGAGGGCTTTTATTTCTTTTGATTTTGTAGCGAGTTTGTCCTTAGATTCTGCAAGAGAAATATCTTTGCGAGTAATCTGAAAATTTAAAGAATCCAT